GGGGGTTGTTTGAGAAGGAGGCAGAGTCTTGCTCTGTGTGGAGTGCAGATTGTGAGGTGGCATGGCAAGAATCCCCCCCAGCTGCTTCTCCTCCCATCCTAAACAGTAGTCCTTTCTCCTTACTCCTCTGCCAAAAGTCACTCATAGCTTCTACATACTTTTCTATCTTTTGCCTAAATGCACATAGCCTTCTCTCCCTACAGTTAATGTTAATCTTCACTCCATGTACTATTACTTTCCCTCAATCTTATGAAAATATTCCCACTTGCTTTCTTTGCTGATTTGCAGCATTATTAGCATAAGCAACCTTGTTTAGGTACTATTAATAAAGCTGGTCACAGGCTAGATGCTGTCTGCAGTCATCAGCTGCGTCAGACCTCCCCATCCCATCCCTTTAATCTCTTTGTGTTTGGTGTAATCTCCGTCTCTTATGTGACTTCTTTTCTCAATTCCCCACCATTCCCCCTCATTCCTTTACTCTTTGTGCTGGCTTGTGAAAGCTCTGTTGGCAGGACATGAGGGCAGTGGAGCCATCATAGCTCACTGCAACTTCAAACTTCTGGCTTTAAGCAATCCTCCCACCTTGACCTCCGAAAGTGTTAGGAATACAGGTGTGAGCCTCAATACCTGGCCATAAATTTAATTTTATTTATTTATTTTTTGTAGAGACAGAGTCTCACTTTATCGCCCTCGATAGAGTGCTGTGGTGTCACAGCTCACAGGAACCTCCAACTTCTGGGCTTAGGCGATTCTCTTGCTTCAGTTTCCCGAGTAGCTGGGACTACAGGCACCTACCATAATGCTGGGCTATTTTTTGTTGCAATTTGGCCAGGGCCAGGTTTGAACCTGCCACCCTCAGTATATGGGGCTGGGGCCCTACTCACTGAGCCTCGGGCACTGCCCTATTTATTATTTTGAGACAGAGTCTCACTTTGTCACACCCTTGGGGGAGTGCTGTAGCACATAACTCACAGTAACCTCAAAGTCCTGGCCTCAAGCTATTCTCTTGCCTCAGCCTCTCCAGTAGGTGGGAATACAGGCACCTAGCACAATGCCTGGTTATTTTTAGAGCCAGGGTCTCACACTTGCTCAAGCTGGTCTCAAATCTATGAGCTTAGGCAATCCACCCTCCTTGGCCTTCCAGAGTGCTAGGATTACAGGTGTGAGCCACCAGGCCCCGCCTTGGCCAAAAATTTTAATGTTAATATCCACATTCATAGTTACAATTTCTTGCAGCCATTCATTTCCAGTTTTTTCATGATCCACAGATTGATTTTGCAGTTCACAATTTCCCATTCTCTGGATTTTATATTTTAGTGGCTTTCCAAGCCCCTCAGAAGGGTCTCTTTAAACAGGACTGTCACCCTGTCACTGTCTTCACAGTGGAGTCCTAATTACTTGATTGTGTTTCATAGATCACAAAGGTTCCTTCAAGTGATCTTTTCTTCCATTCCCTCATATCTATCAGCTTATACATTCTGTAAGTAAATCCATCACTTTCTAATATTTTATCTTCAAAGCAGATTGCTGCTTCCTCCTCACTGTCATCTTTTCATTATCTCTCATTCCTCTTCGCACGGTCAGGGCATAACATACTATCTTCTAGGCCTGGAGATGGGAAATTGCAGGCTGGTGGGAAGAAGAGAGAAATCATCCTCCTGGGAGTGGCAGGCACCCAGTTCTGATCTACGTGAAACTGTAGGCGAAAACATCCCTCTGTGTCTGTTGAGAGAGCCTTGCCATAGACCACGCACCACCTGATGCCAGAAGGTGTTGTCAGGGAAGCCGCAGCAGAAGCAGGAATGGACCGTGAATGCACAGTCTTAGGCTAACCAGCTCTTGCAGCAATCCTGACCCACAATGCCAAGGAAGATTCCTGAGCTGTTATCACTTCCACTCTGTCAGTCTGTTCGGTTTTCACACTCATTTTGGATCTTTCCTGAGGTCTTCCTCTCTTGGTCTCTGCCTTAAGTTTCCTTGAATATGACTGTAATCTGGCCTCCTTTGGTGTTTTAGGAATATCATATTTCTGTCCAAGATAGGCATGCTTCTGAAGCCTCAGGAAAAATGTTTTCTTGCCATCAGTACTCAATTTGAATTCTTGGCACCAGTTCTGCAAAGTGGTTCAACACACATTACAGATGGGAGGCAAAGCGATTGGCAAGAGAAGAACTACTGTTTTATTTACATCTAGTTTTGGGATAGCTTTTGATTGTTGGCAATAGATGAACTTCATTGTGTTTCCTGGGATTGTTCAGTTTGACATTAGAAGTTGAAGAAATAGTTGGTTCCATTTGTTCTAGAGTAATCTTTAACTGGAACCAATGTCAAAATCATACTTTCTTCATTTATTTCTTCCTCAGAAATTCTTGCTGCTAGTGATTTGAATCTGACATGTTCAGTAGCACCTGGGGGAGGCAGCAGCGATGTTAAGGATGTGAAGTTTATGTCTTCTAGTCTCTGTTATCTGGATTTCTAATAACCATATCTCTTCCCATTTTCTTTTTTTATTTTCTTTTTAGAGAGACAGAGTCTCACTTTATGGCCCTCGGTAGAGTGCTGTGGCATCACAGCTTACAGCAACCTCCAGTTCTTGGGCTTAGGCCATTCTCTTGCCTCAGCCTCCCGAGTAGCTGGGACCACAGGTGCCCACCACAATGCCTGGCTATTTTTTGTTGCAATTTGACCAGGACCGGGTTTGAACCCACCACTCTCGGTATATGGGGCTGGTGCCCTACTCACTGAGCCACAGGTGCCACCCAGATCTCTTCCCACTTTCCTCACAGGAAGTAATAGCAGTTATGATACCATGTAAGATTTAAATCCAAAAACTCAAAACTAAAGATAGTTGGGGTTTTTGTTTGTTTTTTTGACACAGAGTCTCATTCTGTCACCCTTTGTAAAGTGCCATGGCATCATAGCTCATAGCAACCTCAAACTCTTGGGCTCAAACAATCCTCTTGCCTTACCCGCCTGAGTAGCTGGAAGTACAGGCGCCTGCCACAGGGCCCAGCTGTTTTTAGAGACAAGATCTTCTGGCTGTTGCTCAGGCTGGTCTTGAACACCTGAACTCAAGCAGTTCACCTGCCTCATGAGCCACTGTGCCAGTCCCCAGGATTAGATTTTTTAACTAAAAAAATTTAAAAGACAATAAAACTTAGCCTTAGATTTGGCTCTCTTTCCATCACCTGTACAAGAAACAATTGATCACCATCATATTTAAGTAAGAATTTTCAGTGACACACACAGAGATTCTCTGTGCATTAGGAGTATGTGAATTATGACTCTGAATTCCCAATTGTGGCCACTGCAGTTACCACCGTGAGCACACATAGACTGCATCAACATTAGTGTCAGGGTCCTGCCCCAGGAGCAGGGTCTGCTAAGACCTGTGGAAACTGGCAGTGATCAACTGAAGAAATACAGAGTTAGAAGCAACGGTGAAGAAAGACATAGGGTAGAATTGGCCCAGAATATTTGCTCCACTCTGAGACCCCGTCTAAACCTACAGACCCACTGAATATGACCCTTCCCCCGCTTCCTCATCCCACCAACGGCCTTCCCCCAACAGCATTACCAACGGCAATCCGCCAACGGCATTCCCCCCCCAGCCCCCCGGCAGTTTATTCTGGGATATAAAAGCAGCCTGTAACAGCTCTTCGGGGTTCCTCTCTGTTCCTCTCCGAGCGGCTGAGGGACCCTGAAGCGCCAGAAATAAACACCTCTTGCGTTTGCATCGACCTGGGTTTGGTGACTGTTCCTTGGGGGTAGCTATCTTAGCCGGACCCATGTTTTGGGTCCAACAAATCTATTTGCCTAGAGGGTAAAATGAGGGAGGGAAAGAAGACTTTAGCAGTTTCTCCAATTGAGCACATCAGCTCCTATTATTGTTATTAACCTTAAAGGGTACCCTTCAGAAATCTGAAATCTGAGCCTTGTATGGGGGTGTAGGAAACAGAACACCAGGCTAGCAGAGACAAACAGCAGTCTTTGAAACATTAACGAACAGACCCCTGACCTTAAGAGCAGACATTGGAAGTTAGAAATTGAATAGCTGTGGAACTCCAGTGTGGGGGTTGGGCTCCAGAGGGGGGAGCACATGCTGGCCACTGTAAATAAGTAGCAGCTGCAGGGGTTGCTTCGGGCCTTTTCCCGACAGGCAAGGGAGGCCCCCCTCCTGTAATCTTCCAGTGGTCTTACAATCCATGGTCTGGCCTGCTTACTTGGTGATGGCACCAATAGTGAGAGAGTCTCCTGCTTTAAGATCTCACACACACAGATTGCTAGGGAGGTATTAAAACACCCCTCATTCTCTGTGGAGTAAAACACCACCAGTGTTAATCTCCTCTGAAGAATTGGTGGGAGGGAGGCATTTTTCTCCCATCACCCCCTCACAGAGGATCTTCCTCCGCAACAAGGGATATAAGCTCTTCTGCTCATATCTCAGGGTTAGAGCTACTCTTCCCTTGGTCTCTGCGCCAGGCAAATGAAAGTCTCTACAAGGGGTATCTGCTTTGCCTGTTTAATGGGCAGGAAACATGGGCCCTAGAAGATGTATCTTTTTCTAGGACTTGCCACAATCTCTTCTGTGGCCATTATTTTCCTCAGAGTGCTCACAGACCCAGCAGGGTGTGTGTAAGCTGAATCCCCAACAAGCTAAAATTTCAGAAAAGGCAGGAAGCTTGCTAGCAGTGACTAGCTTAAATGTAAACTAGCTGACTGTTCCCTACTCACTCAGCTTAGTTTCTAGTTTTCCTCTTTTTCTTGAGGTGCTTCCAGTCCCTGTTCTCCCAGCACATTAGAATTCCTGTTTTGTGAACTGTAAAACCTATTCCAGATGGCTGGAGTTAGTAGAGCCAGACTTTGTGCTACCCTATCTAGGATCAAAGTTTAGAGTTTGCTGGTTACCTGTAGCCAATCCCAGGGAGACTGTTCCTAGGGAAATTGTCCACAACAGAGTATAGGAATCCAGTGCTTTGATGTCACCTGCTCTGTTACAGGTTTGCTTGCTGACCCCCTGACAAGAATAACTGGACTGTTGGGTCTAGTCTACAGTATGTGCCCAAGAAGAGAGAAGACGGCATTATATCTACAAGTCAACTAATGTACAATTAGTCACCTACATACTAGTTAAGGTACTTTGGCTTTTTTATAACCTCACTAGAAAGGAATGTGGGTGTGTATAATGTTTAGGACTTAAACATGCTTGTTGGTTTTCTTTCTGACTATTTGTCCTATTCATTAAGTTTTGAACTCTTTGATGCTTATTGGTGAATTTTCTATTTCTTTCTTGTTTGTGTTTTTGCTTCTTGTGTTGTCATGCTCTTCTAGTTACTAATAACCTAAAGATCACATTTGATAATTTATTAAAAGTAAACACCTGTCTTGGGGAGGTCTTGATTCACAGCAACATCCTACCCCTGAGTAAAGAATTCTGTTGCTAATTCTTTAAATTCTTGATATACTGATGAATAATAATTTAGTGACACTGAAAAGGATGCTGGTTTAGTTAAGTCATAAAATTCTACTAATCCTTTTGCACGTAGGCATTTTTGACTATACCATGGAATCCGTAGCCAATGACTATAACCTCTGTATTGTAGCATCCATGAAAAAGGACAACTATGATATGGAGTCCCTTTTCCTTCTCCTAAATTTTGCTATAAAAGCCTCCAGAATACTTCTCAGTTTTGTTATGTCTTCTTCAACAACCTGTTGCATACCAATGAGGGGGTGTCAAACTGACCTCACTGTTGTTCTATTGTTGTGTATTTGTTTATGTGGGGAGTTACAGGGTCCTCGTTTAGGACTTTTGGTATTACAACTATACCCACTTGTTAGGGATAGTCCTCATACCAGCACTTTTGGATCAGCAGTTCTCTAAACTTAGCAGCAGCAAAGAGTTGCTATGTCTTTTACAGGAAAAGCCA